AGCGCCGGCCCGGCCTGAAACGGTGACACTAGCGCTGAAATTTGCTAGCTTCCAGGCAAACAATTCAGTATAGCAACTCTTAGGATAGGTATCAGTTTCAATAAGGTTTTGATAAGAACTGAAGATGCAGTTTCTGCTAATGTTACGGATTATTCTTTTTTTTAGCTGTCTTCTGTGCCTTACCATTAATGGACTTTCTGCACACATCAAGGATTTGAAGCACTCATGTCAACCATGGAAGACATTCACCCAAGGCACCAGACCTCAAAATAGTTAGATGCCACATTATAACAGTTTCCAGAACTTTGGTATCAGGGTTAAGTTATTAGTAAGGACACAAAGAAAGTTGGTAGTGGAATATAAACCTTGTCTTGGCTGCGCCAAATGATGTATCAGCTTCTACTACCCCTTCCCAGGCTCCCTGTTATTCTCACCCTTGCTCTTTTCCCTAGTGAAAAGTGTTGCTGCAGTATGGCACACCTGTCTTTTTCATGACTATTAAATATACAGATGGCCATTCCAGAATATTCAGTGACATGCAGGAAAGCAAAAGGAATCTGAAATAATCTGCAGTGACAGATATTACCTACCTACAAATTAGATCCCAGTAAGACAAGTAATCAAGGGCGCAACAGTCATTTAGTATTAAATACCTTTTGCTATCTTAAAATTGGTGAATGAAGAGTATCAGTATCTCAAGGTTAAATCTCTGCATTTCAAGCTAATGCACAGGTCCCACACAAGGGACAGTATCGTATATTCAGGTGAGATCTGGCCAATCCCATCAACACAGGATGGAGTTTGCATGTCTCTGACCATGCTTTTTCTGTTTCTGCAGGATGGATGACATCCAGCTGTGCAAAGACATTATGAACCTTAAGAAAGAGCTGCAGAGTTTGGTAGCAATCCCAGGTAATGGCTATCTCCAACCCAATATTAGGATAATGCTTGGTTGATGCACAGGTGAGGATACTGTCAGGAACACACCTCTGCCCCTAATAATCAGAAATCTCCTCCCAAGGTTGAGTTTCGTAACTCTTTCCTCTACTCTTTATTTTTTCCTTCCCATGTTTAATCTCCTGGTCTTTAAATTTCTTTTCATGCTGCATTTCACTGCTCCCTTGGCAGCAACCCTGCAAATATCACTCAAACAGGGTGCACATTCCCTCAGTTCTTGCACTCCCTTGGCAACCTCAAGGGAACCAAGTAGCACAGAGATTGTCAGGTAGAAAAGACAGAGTGCTGAGATAAAAGGGAGAAAGGATTGTGATCACTGTGAACGTGATTTATTTTTTCCTATGGATATACCAATTCATTGTCACAGCTGTAATTAAATCTACCTTCTAGAATAACGTAAAATGGGTTTCTACAAAAAGCAAGGGGCAGAAATCTGCTTGGTGTTTTGCCTTAATTCTCTGCAAATTCACTGCTCTAAGGAGGGACAGAGCCATGGGCAGTTTTGCAGTCCTTAACTCCAAACTCCGGCTGAAATCAATGAGGAATTTTGCTTCACTAGTTTTAGATCATCCACAACAGCCCTACTCCGTTCAAGAAAAAAGTAGAGACAGATCCTGCAAAACACTCAGCAACTGCAGTGGGCAATTTACACTAGATATTACGCTAGCACCCTTCAGGAATAATTTGCTGCTGCCTAACTATTAAGGACAAGTTTTGACTCTGCTTTGGTTATCCTCATTTTTTCCTCCCACATTTTATTGTGCAACTTTAAAGGACAACTTTCTCCCCAGAAAGGAGAGAGAAGGTCACTCAGGAAACAAGGATCTATTCTGAGGCCAAACATTCTTAGCTGTATAAGAACTTTTCCACTTTTCTTTGCACCCAAAAGTGGATTCATAGTATTTCCTACTTTTTCTTTATTTTACTTCTTAGTTACTTATAGGTCACATTTTTAATTATAACACTGTTGTTACATTACTGGTTTAAATGGTATTGGAAAGGATTATAAATCCTAGAAAATATCTATGAATGATTTCCCTTGCCTCGCTGCTTTAGTCTGCAGCTTTCCTACCCATACTCTTAACATACAGTTCGGTTTGGTTTTCATTTTTTTGGTGGGTCCAGTCAAAGTCTTTAGCAGAGATCCACAGACAGCAGTTTCTCCTTAGCACTTTGCAAATCTCAGCAAACTGAAAAATTGAGTATGAACAGTTCCAGCAGCACCACCTTTTGGCAGACTCGCAACAAGAATACTTTAGTCTTAACGAAGACAAGCTGCTGGCATTCATACAAAACTAAGTGCTGACACTGTGTGTGCCTAGCCTAGAAAAACACTTCCCAGAAATGGGTTCATTCATAACATCTTAATTTTCCTGTTAGAATACAGATTTGTGTCGAGACACCTCTTTGGTTTCAGTAGATCAGTCTTTTAGTACATAGAGTATGCGGTACTTTGCCACAATTCAGGATGCATATATTTGGCAGGCAGTTTCCTGAAGGATATCATGGGAGAGCACATCTCCATCTGGAAAGAGAATAGATTGAAAGGAAGTAGAAAGTAGCTCCTACCTTCCGTAGTGAGAGGAGGAGACCCCTTGCTCCATAGACATAAGAGGCAAAGCAAGAAAAAGCAGTGATTTCTAAGCATCCTTTTTTTCTCTGCTGCAAATTCAGCATTAATCACAGGAATTCTCCATAGGTAACAATGTAGAGGTCTTGAAATATTAGTAGCAGTCAATAACCACCTTCGTCTATAATTTCTAAAAGATAAACCACAGAAAATACATCCCAGACAAAGCAGCCTTATGTTATATTACAAATTATTTCCACTGCTACTGGCAGACCATAATTTAAAATTCTCCAAGGAGCATGGCTTTGAGATTGAGACTTAGAGAATTTCATTGTCTTGAAAATATATTCAAGATGCTTTTATCTCAGTTACTAAGGAATGGATTTATTGCAGAAATTCCCAGCAGTAAACATCCTGAAGCCCATGATCCAAAGTTAAGCTGTATTAAACAATTATTTTCAAATATCTGATTTATTTAGCTGTTTAAAATATCTTGTAAGTTCAATCAGCAGACATAACATAGCTCAGATGCATCAGACTGCAGGCAGCTTGCCCTTCTTCGCACAACTCTTATTGTGCTTAATTTTATGTTTCTCTAAACACAGTTCTGCTGCTCAAATGCAAATCATCTTCTCAGCTAATCAAAATTTTCAGCTTCTTGAGGAAATACGTTGGCTGGGATTTGCCTCTGGCTTTCTCATCTCTGCTCCACTTGCTAGCTTTGAAGATTTCTCTTAACTACATCTGCTTTATAACCTTAAACTACAGCTCTGTAATACCTAACATTCATGAGTTTCGTGACAGGCATGTTTTTCATGTCACAAAAATCGTTGTTTATAGACAACCTAGTCATTACAGACTGGCCCATTAACAAGGACATATATTAATTACTCAGATTTCTGAAGCACAGCGAAAATAAACACTAAATAGTGGAAAACACACTATTTTTCCACATTTTAGAATTTATGCTATTTGTGTGGATTTGCAGCTCATTTGCCTTACTAGAGTAGAAAAAAAAATGTTGTAATCAACAGCCAAAGCTGTCATGAAATACAGAGAAATGGTTCCCTTTGGTGTGGTCTCATTTCCCTTGAGGTCAAAGGGAGTTTGTCTCATGGATTTTAATGAAGCATCCTGGACGGTTTTCTTACCAAAGCTCTTTAAAAAAATTAAAAGCAGTGTCTTGCAGAATAATTTAATATTAAAAGTAGGCTTGGCAAGCCCCATAGAGTCCCCAGACCATTAAGCTGATCAGACATAACAGCAGCAAGTAGAAGAGAGAAAAGAGGCAGTGACTAGAACTTGCTGGGGTTTTGGTGACTCCGGTATGAAGAAGCATTGACTTCAATCAGTAATTCATTCTTAGACATCTAGACATCTGCAATGTCCACCCCCTACCCCCCACCCCACTCATTAGAATCCAAAATAGTCTCTTTTCTCTGTTTTTGACCAGAAAAAGAAAAAACAAAGATGGAGAAACAAAGAGAGGATGAACTGATTCAGAAGATCCATAGACTGGTACAAAAAAGAGATTTTCTTGTAGATGATGCAGAGGTGGAAAGATTACGGTAAGAACTAAAAGCAACTGAACTTATTTGTGAGATTTCACAAGTCTAATACTACACTGGAGCAAATGACAGAATTTACATCAACATGAATGGGAGAGAATTGGTCCTTTAAAACAACTTACCAAGTTATAAGCCTCCCCCTGGTTCTATAGGAAAAACATTTAAACTAGATTACTGCACTTCTGTAACTCTTTATCCCATTAATGATTCAGTCATCTCTTTACTACAGCAGGGTTTGGTCTCTTACTTTCTTACCAGAAAGTGTCTGAACATTTACCGTTAATGAGAGAAGGATTTTTGCTGCTACCAGAGGATCCTCTTGGCATGAGTAGATATGAAACGTAATTCTGCAAGGGGCATATCCGAGACATCTAAAATCTGCCTTTTTTAAAAAAAAAAAAAATTAATGTGGTTGGGTTTTATTATTACTATTCTCACCCTGCCATAGCAAAAAAAAAAAAAAAAAGAGAATGCAATCATTAACATGGGTCTACTTAACCTACAGCATAAGCCAGTTCAGAATGGTTTCATCTCGGTATCTTAGCCCAAAGTTGCTGAGAAACCTGTGGTCTTCCTCAAAAGTTCATTTCCAGCTGTTGCACCAAGATCCCACCACTCTACAAATAGTCAGAGTTTGCTATTACTTCCCCTGTCTCTTTCAACAGTAAAGATTCAAGGCTCCTCAATCCATTTATCCTAAATGACAACATCTCTTTCAACACATTCAAATTCCAAGCAAGCAAAGGACAAGAGAGAAGAAAGCTTGCCAGAGTCCTGCAGCTGATCAAAGAGAGCTGGCCAAAGTCAGCAGCTGACAAGAAGCCTGAGCTAGTAATGTAATCCAGAGCTCTCAACTGCTAGTTCAATGTGCAAATCACAAAAACTTCAGCAGCAGCCAGACAATACAGAAGCCTAATTGTAGGCTACTGAAAATGTACTGCTATGCACTATGCAGATGTGAATACATTAGTGCCAATTTACATCTGCAGTAAAACCTGAGGCTTTTCTTTAAAACTCTTGATAATAAAATCTTCTTTTCCTCTAAACTGAGATATTCAATATCAGCTTGCTCATTGTTAATGTTTAAGTAACAAAATAGCAAAGAATCTAACATGGAAATATCATTAATAGATACAATCAAGGTTACCAGCACAATCTTTTTATTTTGGGCCTAATCCTGTCACCTTCAGGCAGAGAGAAATATATTTGGTTTTGCTAAACACTAACAGCAAAAGACCATGAGATCCAGTCTTTTGTCTAAGCAAGCCTTTAAAAGTAAGAAGTACAATCATAGCCATACATATCCTCTGCTTTACTTTGTAGAGGAATCATCCTGAAGCACTTGTGAGGCAGCTTAAAATAGGTGATACATTGTGGTTTACATCCAGTGACTACGGAATGTAATGAATCCAACACTATCAGAGACAAGTAACGAACCTTGGGTAAAATGCTGTCTTTGAATTATACAAAAAGTTTGTAACTGTTTTCATTTAAGGAAATATTTTACTCTTCAGTAAGCAGCAAAATTGTTTTAAAAAAGAACAAAAAGCGAGTTGTTTACTAGTGATTTGATCCTAGCTACTCTAGCTTTTACTTACCATTTACAGAGAAAACATTGTTATTTCTGTAACATTTATTTTCTTTTTTTCCACCAGAGAGAAAGAAGAAGACAAAGAGATGGCTGAATTCCTTCGCACTAAGTTAAAACCCTTAGACAAAGCTACACAATCTCCTACCAGTGAGTTCCTAAACATTAAGAAAAACAAGACCAATAGGAAAAACTCCAAAGACAACTGGATAAAAGAGCATTTTCAAAGGCCATGCTGCCTTTGCCAGCCTCTGCCACAAGCTAGGTTAATCTAGCTAGATCACCCTGGAACAGGATAGCGTGTCAGCAATTGCTGGCCACTTAGAATTCAGACGCCCAATTACCCCTTAAAACTGAACCCAAGTAATCTATGGCCACTTTAAAATTGCTTTGTATGTTTTAAATATACAAAGTATACTTGAATACACATTGCCACAACCTGCTTTTGTAAGCAACTAGATTTGGTTTTTGCCAATCATTTTCCCATCTGGTTCTGCAAAAATAACTGGAAAAAACCCATAGATATATGTTAGGATATCTGAAGCAAAGTTCGCCTGTTTTACTGCAGGCAAGATGGAAACTAGAGAGAAGACTGCAAACTTCCGCAGCTGCCCCAAATTTCTTATATCTTACCAGCATAAATAGGCTTTTCGATCACCTCAACCCAAATAACTTATGGACAGAACTGCAAACACACTAATTTCTCAGAAACTAAGCAGATTACATGATCTCTTGGAAGCTTTTAGCTGCAACTTTCAAACAAAACAGTCACAGCATGAGCTCTAGAAGTTAACAGATGGATTTTCACCTGTCTCAAACTGAACTCTTAGGGAGATAATCAAGTGAGAGTTGGTACCCTTTTTAGAAAGTGAATTTGGTCCACCAGCTGAAGAGGTTTGTATCCAAACACACTGCCATTTTGCACAGATCAAGATCTTGCTAAAGAGTCTCTAGGGGGATATGGAATGACAGTGAAGTTCAAGTACAAGGTTGATAGAGGCATTTTAAGATGCATCACTAATTATTTATACTCTAATAATTATCACTAATTATTTATACATGGTGAGCATGACTTATCTCCCTTGTTAGTTTATTTCATGTCATTGCTTGTAAATGCAATATTAGAGATAAAAAGATTCTTTTCACCCTGAAAATTTGCAACCTACCTTTATCTTTTTCTCCTAATTACGACATCCAAGTTGATGAAAGAAGAAAATCCAGCTATATTTTTGTTCTTCAACTCCTTAGTTGTTGGGGTTTAAACACAGTAAGATGATTTTCTGTGGAAGGACCTGTTATCTGACCCTATGGCTGTGGACAGGGACACCTGGATTAACAAGATGAAAGAAGTTTACCTTCCCATTGAGATGTCCGGATTTTTTAGCCCCTCTTAACTCCCTCCCATGAAGAGAGAAGACTTCCTAAGCAGTTTGAATCCACATACCAGCTTGGTTACTACCAAAATTAGATGTATTGTTCAAACAAGAGTTAATAAATCGGGGTGGGGGGTGCAGAAAAGGCTTGCACTCTTTACGCCAGAAGTAGGAAGAGATAGTTTGACCAGCTCTTGGTTTTAATGGTGTCCTGTTTTGAACATTGCAGGCAGCCCAGCAGAAAAGAAGGCAGAACCTCCTCCAAGCAAGCCCACCATTGCCAAAGCAGGATTAGCTATTATTAAAGATTGTTGTGGGGCCACACAATGCAACATCATGTAGCTCTGGGCTCTCTACCATGTTTGTCTTTTCCAATGTTGTCATTGAACAAAACTGTAGGGTGAGGGGAACTAACAACGTCCTAACAGAATCAAGAGCAACTGGTACAACAGTAATATGTGGAATGTACAATGGCAGGTTCTTCACTGTTGCATGGATCACTCAACACGCATGCCTAAAAACAAAAGAAATCTATATAGTTGCTGTCCAGTGACCAGAAAAGATCTGTAGTAGAGTAAAAAAAATCACCCCAGTGATAAAAGTGAATGAAAAGACTGTGTATTTCATCCAGTAAGGTGTAAAACAGCAATTTTAATAGGCCATCACTTTAAGAATTTGTTACACACTTTTCCCCCTTGACAAACAGCACTTAAATTGCTGAAATACCCTATTTTGGCTACTTTTCAAGACAAAAGCCACAAGTAGCAACGCTGTATATAGCGCAACTGATAGATGAAGCAACTTCAGGATAACTGATGTTGCATACAAAATACTTATCAAACTAGTGTGATGTTCAACTACTTTGCTGTGGAGTTTCACTTCCAATTCTTCCTAAAGAATGAGGATCAGTGACAAGGATGCTGCAAGTAGAGGTAGATTTTTATATCCTGTATGATTTCTGAATTACTGAAGTCAAATGAATATTGCTTGCACCAGGGAAAATAAATCTCTGGTAAAGCTTTCGCAACCACAGCTATAGTAATCTGCAAATAGATGTAGTCCAAAGCTGTGTCATTTCTCTTTTAGATCTCCACCTTGCATGGAGTCAAAGAAATATTCACCCAGAGAGTTTTGCCCACTATTAGAAGTTACATGCAGTATGAGATTACATATCACTGGTAGGTTGCTGGGAGAAGAGTGGAAGACAAACAAAATTTAAAATGCTAAAAAAACCCTATTAATTGCATATTTCATGACCATAAGAAGTATATAAACAATCAAGCATAGGAAGACGTTAGCCACCCAAGACAAATTGACCACAAGACAAATATACAAATACAGAAGTAGATATTTGTGGTAGAAAGATCACATTCTACACAAAATGGGTTTAAAATTAAGGGAAATACAGAAAGACTTATCTGTGTTTCACCATTAAATGTGTTTCTGGTCTCTATGCAGATTAAGCCTTGTGGAATCTAATATCTTTATATTAGCTGTCAGTAGCTGGTTTGTCTGTGTGATGGTATTCCATATAGATGTATTGTGATAGGTGTAAATAGTAAAATAAATGTACATGGATCTAATGTGAAAATCTCAGGCTTAGAAATAACAAAAAGATAGCAAAAAGTTCCTAAAATAAAGTTTTTCAAGAGGAACTTCCATTCTGTGAAGCCAGCTAAGTGAAGTGTACCCTTACATACAAAGGAGCCACAGTTACAGGAAAGTAGAATGAAAAAAATTAACAGCAGTTACCCAAAAAGGCTAAACAGTAATACTTCTTAGAGAGAGAAAGTATCTTATTAAGGTTCAAGGAGATAGACACCATCTAAGGTAACTCAGACTATTCTTGTACAAATAAAACCTAATGCCTAGCATCAGACTAATTCGATGAAGAACATTTGCATTTCCAGAATAATTTGTTTCAGTATTGCAGACTCACTTGAGACAAAGAACCTACATCACTAAGTTCCTTAAGGTTTAAGGAGGAAAAAACACAAAAGGTTTCCACTAAGACATGAAGCACTTTAATGACTTTGACCAAAGACACAGGAAAAAAGACAAAACATATCCAAAAGCTGAAGTCATATATAGTTACTGCATCCTTGTTGATACATACAACATCACATTAAGCTCTGTAGTGTTAATATCTACTGTAACTGGAATGAGTTGGACTCTGTATAGCACCTGTGTACGTTAACAGTTATGGGGAAAACTGCTGTTAAGGGAGAATACACACTGGAGGGGAGGAAATACCCACTGGCTTCTGTAAAATTCAACAGCCTCTTGAATTTGCTAGTACCCAATTTAGACATCAGGAATTACCAGTATCTGAAGACAAGAGGCAGGTGGTCAGTGCCATTAACAAAGGCAAATGAAAGTTAGGAAAAAACCTGTAGTCGAACACCAAACTTAAAGCCTTAGGAGGATCGACAGTTAGAACCAAGTATTATGAATGCTGGTAAGTAAAGGGTCCTGAAGAAGGACTTTGCACACAGTTTTTGTAAGGCAAGCGATGACTTATGCACATTAGCATTTAAAGGAGGCTGTGCTGATGATTGGATCGATCCCTGTATGCTGCACAAAATCTATAGTCCCTTGGGAAGAGAAGTGAAATCGGTAGAATGTAGGTTCGTAAGAAAAAATTTCATTTAACAGGAAATGGAGCTAGACATTACTGTGATGCAACACTCATGACTAGGCTACAGAATCCCCTCCTTTAATTAAAATGAAGGAGAGAAAACACAGCAAGTATGAATATGTAATATTCATATACAGTTAGCACTGGTAGTCAGTGCCCCAAACAGACTTGAACTACAGCAGTATTAATGAGAGTGAACTTCATTTTCAGAAGTTCTAGCTTAGCTCAGCGAAAGGTTTTATTTGTCTGAGTTGGTTTTGGTTTTAATTAGCAAATGCTTCAGTTCTGTTTTTATTTGGGTGGGTTTGAAGAGCTTGCCTGCAGCGCACCAGTGGTTCCTTTAGAAGGGGGTCAATGATGCTGCTTAGCGATAAAGTCCTGGATTTTTTAGACTGTGAGGTCAGATTCTCAACTGTGTTCAACACTGGCTTATGATGTTCTCCGTCCAGAACACAGCAGAGCCCTAATGGCTTACTTCAAACATAATGGTTGTAATTACATTACACTTGGGAAAGAATTAAGTGTGTAAAAACTCTTGGTCCTTGTTTTTAAAAGTCAGACTAAACCATGAAGTATTCCCAAGTACAATGAGGGGCTTTGTAACTTCCATGATCCTATGAACATAGTACATTATGCAATCCCCATACGTAAAAATCAGCAGAAAATATCAGACAAGTATCTTTAGGTGACTACATCAAGTAACTGGTGGCATTTCAGAGCTGATTTTCAGGTATCTCTTACTGTCTGCAAAGAGGGACATCGGTTGACTGAAGCATGCAAAATCTCTTCTGGAAATCCTGGCTGTTTATCACTTCAGAAAGAAGGCAAGGCATCAGAAAAAGAAGAAAGTTTAAGGTGGATTTGTCACTATTTCATCTATGAACTGGTAAACACAGCTATATTCAGGAAAAGATCTGGGTCTACTGAGAAAAACAAAAGTGTTGAAGTGCTATTTGTACTAATCACCAATTCTACCAGCAAATGGTTCTCTTGTACCTTCCCCTGGGCCTACTGAATCTCTTCAGCAAAGTTAAACATACTTCCAAATAAACTAAGCTGCTGTGTTACACTAAAAATATGTTTCATCCTGTTACTGAAGGAAGCAAGTGGTGGTGGAGTAGAGTGGGGTGCTGCTATAGTTTTCAAAAATAATGGGATTATTAATCTGCAAGAAGGGAATAATTTGATAAGTTAGTGGTGCTAATGAAATAAAGGATTTTATCTCACTGAAAAAACATAGTTTCTCCAATGACACTCCACAAACAAAACCCACCAAAAAAACCAATCTCATCATGCTCCTAGATAAGTTTGAAACCTCACTACAGCCCAGGGCACAAGACGGTTCTCAGCCCTACATTGAGTTGAGAAGATAAAGGTCCCAACACACTTGAGTATCAAAAGCATTGCCAAGCCAGAAGGGCTTAACAGCAATTAAAAAAAAAACCCCACAACACCACAAAAAAAAAAATAATCAAAATCCCCATCAGCACTGTCTGGTTTGCTCACCAGAGCGGTTTGACAGATGCTACCTGAAGTGTACAGCTCTGGAGATCTCGGGGACCAGAGACTGCACGACCAGATACAGGGAACGAGATCTCATGCTGCTGCTTTGTTCTCACTGCCCCAAACCTTCCTCCTGTGGGAAGCAAACACAATGAAATCAAATTTGTATTAACAAAGTTTTGGTGTTAAGAGTCAACTAAGGAATATCTAATAGCAATGGTATTATATCATCTGAACAAGAGGCATGGAAGACAAGTTTCTCTCCTTCCCCATCTCCCAGAATAAAATAATTCAGTTCAACAGCAAGCTTTAAACATAACCCTGCAGCCAACTGAGGAATCCTGTCAAAAATCAGCAATACACAGGAGAGAGATTGCATCATCCAGACTTTCTCTGCTCAGTTGTACCGTGGTGACAAGTTACCAATGTCTTGTTAACCAAGACACAGTTAACAAGTACTTTCATAAGCACACCCCCTCCACCCTCCAGAAAGAATAGTACTTTACCTAAAACCCAATATTAAGTTGCATTTGACTGCAGGCTGAAGAGTGGGGCTGCAAAAGGTCACCAGGGCATGCTGTCATCTTTGTGGCTGGTGTCCATAAGTTCATCTGTGATTCGGGCTTTGTCACACTTTGTCTTCCTACATAGACGTAGGAGCATTTTCATTTACAGCTAAGCAGGTGGGTAAGGAGAACAGTTTTCCTAATACTCTGCTCAGCTTGATCTCCAACACCATGCGACTTGGAACTAAAACATTTACAGCAGACTGAAATCAATGATCTCAAATTATGAGTTCATTCTATGCACGACATGTAGAATACACATATTCTACCCATATCCTTATCCATACTCCCTGCCTCTGAAGCAGTTAAAATCTTTACTGGCATTTCAGAGGCAGCTCTTGGAAAGTAAGAGTTTGGCTACTGGCTCCAAAACTGATGAGATCTCAGACTTCTTTTACAGTTAACACGGAAATAAAATTCCAGCTGAGAATAAATAGAGAACCTGCAAGTTAGACTCACTGGTAAACTATTATCAAACACACACATAAAAAAAAAAAAATCTTTCTGGTCATGCAGGAGAATATTTTTCTTATTAAAAAGGAATTTGAAGGAATTGAAATTTTTTTTTCAATAAACATGATATTTCTCTTACGGTAGAAAGACAACCACAAACTCATTACAGCCAGCCACCCAGAGAATATGTATTCCGTTGTATAGAGTCTTCAGAGATGTGCAAATAAATCAAGTTTCTCTGTGTGGTTTGCTCCTACCTAAACCAATGGAAAATT